CCTTCCTGTGTGGAGTTTGCATGTTCTCCCCGTGGCTGCGTGGAATTTCTCCGGGTACTCCGGTTTCAAACTCATTTTGGAGTGGATGATTAGGACAATTAGAAATGATGTTACAATTCCTCAGGACCTGTCCATTATCAAAGGACATGAGCTGCTGACTTTCTGATATTTTTCCAGCAGTTTCGATAAGTCTACTGAGGCGATTCCTTTTGGACAATTTCAGGTTTCCAAAATTACCCCAAATATTAATTTTCTCGCTCACTTCTCTTACAGAAAAAATGTTTTGTGGATATCCCCCCCTCCCCCCCCAATATTTGAGTTGTATCACATGCACTGAAAATCAAGTTAGGCCTCTTCCTCTTGCTGCCTTCATCAGACTTTCCAATGACTTACCCGGGAACAGAACATGTTTGTAACAGCCTGACTGTAGCGTAGTGTCATCTCTTCCGCTTTCTGCCCGTGGGATTATTCCGGGCCTGCGAGGTGGAACTGTATACTTGACATATGTTTTGAATGAGTCACAGCTTTTCTGCAGGGTGAACACTGCTGTGTTTACACTCAGTGCCAACATGTGGAGTTGTGGAAAGCAGTTTTGACTGACTAGGAGAACTCAGGTGGAGAACAGCCGTGCAGTGTACTGCATCTTCGTGTGTCCTTCAGGATGCTCCCCATTCAATATGTGCATATAGTTTGACCACGTTTGGCACATTTTGAGCAGTTTTTGTTGTTTTTCATTCCCTAAAACATCTTGCAATTCATTGACTTAAACGTTATAAGATGTCTTCACCAATATGTACGTCCACCAATTAAATGGGATAATGAAATGCCAGACTGCTGCCTTCTAATTGCCTGATCTCATCTACCTCTTACGGCAAACTGTTTACTCACATGACTGCCAGGCTTAATGGGTTAAATAAGGTCAGGACTAGAGTTGCCAAGTCAGATCAGACTGAGGAAGGTTCTTTTGAACTGTTTGTGTTTTCGTTTCTCTGTTTATGTACATGCAGAATTCCGACTGGGTCTTTGAAGAAAGTGGTATACCATCTTGCGTTGCAGACATGTTGTCATCGCAGGTACAAACAATGTCTGTCAGTCATTCCATCATGCAATCGTCCAGGAATGTCTTCAAAGGCGAGGAAAGCAACAGTTAAACAGCACAGCTGGATTGGAGCTGCTATTGTCAGTGATACTTCATTGTAAAAAAATAAAAAATAAAGCGGGGAGGGGGGGACATTAAATTAACAAAAATATTTTACACATATGTGTGATAGACTTCAAATTTGTCTGGACAATTTAATAACAATAAGAAAAAACAGTAATGGCCACCTCAATCTCATTGCAAAGTTACACCAAACCTGTGCAACCAAATTTCACAAAAAGTTGATGATTTGACATAAGGGGCCAAGAACGAGCCCATTCAGATTTGGTTAAAGGTAACGATTGGGGAATGAATTTTCATATTTTTCAATTCCAGACCTCTTGCACTGGGCCCAATTGAGGGTGGTTGTGTTGTCGATAGCAGCGAGCATTCATTTGGTAATGTGTATGACCAACATCTCCAGGACTGAAGCGCAACACTATCAGCTGATGAATGAGTCATCATTATTTGGAAAATTCAACCTTGGCGGAGGTCTACAATCAATTTCAGTTTGTTCTCGTAATCTGGATTAGTTGCAGCCTGCTGCTATGTAATTCCACTCGGTTACATTAAGATTGACACTTTTGACTAGAACGAGGCATGAATATGCTTCTGCTGAATTACAAGGTCAAGTAACCACGCATGACCTGAATTTACGCACATCCATCCAGTAACCCAGTCACTTAACATACTTTACTCTGAATCTCAGGAAACATCATACCAAAAATAAATGGATCTCCATGGCAACGGCCCCTTATGGCCCACTCATGCCATGCTTTGATAGTGCCTGTAGATGTCGTGAAATAGATGGTGCCTGATTGTAATCACCTTGGTAGTCATGATGATGTCATGTATTATTTTCTTGAGTCAAACAGATTTGGAGCTGCTGTCGAGGGAAACGCAGTGAGTGTCTTTTGTCGAGTCGCTTTGACTCTTATGTAGATATCCGGATCCTCCACTTTTCGGAAGCCTCCAAGGCAGTGGAATCCCCCTGCTAATAGTTTCTGGGTTGAAACCAGCTAATTTTAGAGCGGGGCCTGCACTCCAAACAAAAGGGTCCTGTCTCTTGTCTGAGTGCCAAACACGAGAAAGCGATTTGCCTCTTTTACGTTCTGTGAGTCGCCGTGCGTTACAACGTGGACTGGTCAAATGGATTCGCAGGGTGATTACAGGCGTATTGTTGCGGTCAAGCAGAGGTTAAGCAGGCCCATCAGCCAACTGATGGATAGAACTTCCTTAGCTGATACGTGACATTTGATGTTCGGAGGTAAGTGGTCTCCAATGGCCGCTCTTAAGGTTAAATGGGTTGTTTTCTGGATGAATGTGTTTCTTTGCCAATGTGCACTTAAAACCTGGCGTCTTTCTTGTATTCTGTACACCACTTTTTTGGTTTCAAAGCCTGATTGAACTCTGTAGCGCTGGCTCACTTGCAAGAAGTCGTGTGGTTTGTGCCTGCTTACGGAATCTGCAAAGAGTCTCTCCGGTTGTGTTGTGTCAAAGGCACAACAGAAGTTTTTCAGTTGATCTCTTGTTTTAGCCCAAACGCTACTGTTCATGAATGATTTAGGTGACTCTTTAATGTTCCTAGCAGTCATACAAGTATTAAAAATAATTGTCTTGAACGTGGGTCTTTAACTTTGACATTTTATTGTTTCACCAGGCAAATTAGGTTCACAGCCCTGAAGACGAGACCAGACCGAGACCCTTAAAAAGTGGTCTCGAGACCAAGGCCAATCTCGAGAACCAACAACTTTGTTCCGTGCGTCTCGTGTTGAAAAGGGATTCAATGCATATCCACTGTCAATCCTTCAACTCACTGAAAGTCTCACCAGAATATTAGATTTCATTGTCAAAGTTGAGTCCTCGGATATATCAGCTGTCTTCTCAACAATCTTTGTCGGGTGGGAACAGTCCACCGCTGTTGGTCGTCTTGCTTTGTGTAAAAAGCAAGGTGTCCTTTGCCTCTGTTGTGATAACTACCTTTTTTTTTTTGTACCCTGGCTTGTGTTAAGTCTGAGCTGTGAATTTCCCTGTCTTTCTCTGGGGCAGACGCAACTAATTGGATAATGGCACATGACACAAATGAGTCATTTAACAGGCGCCGAAGGAGACAAACCATGGCTTTTATATGCAGTTGCCCTTTTGAAAAAAAAAAGTGTGTGTGTATGTATAATTAATAGTTGTATTTTTTTCCACCCATTTTCTCTTGTGCTTGTTCTAATTAAGATTACGGTAAGGTGGAGCATTTCCCAGCTCTCTTTGCATGAGAGGTGGGGTACATTGAACTAGTCGCCAACCAATCACCAGGCACCATTCGAGTGGTTTGGACTTTTCCGCATCTCCCTCAATGCGTTACTGGCGGACATATTGAAAGGCGACACCCACTAACAAAGCGTCATTTCGCCATGCATTGTATGTGTGCCATTGTTGGCTGTAATAGTCGGGCAAGAAAGGGCGGGTAAGGTTTCTGTAGACTCCCGAAAACCAAAGATTTTATGCCCACCCAAAAGAAAAGTGATCGATCACCGGGAGCTAAGCTGTGGCTATTGTATAGTTGCGAACCACAAACATCGACGTTGGTTAGCAGTGTGAAGACCGATTCGCATCATTGTGGGATATGTTACTATTTTTAGCACAAAGGTCGAACCCCTCCATGGACAAACCACCATTTTCTCGCGCAGTTACATCGATGGGCAATATCGAATCTGGCCTAACGAGCATTTTTTAGAATGTGTCAGAAAGCAGAAGTCATGCAAGCGTGAGGAAAACATGCAAACTTAACAGAGGGAGGCTAGTTATTTGAAGTCTTATGATCATGCATTGTAAAGTCTATTTAAATCGTGAAGTTGTGGTCCTACTGTATTTAAATTGGCGGCTTGATGATGTGCTACCTCACAAAGTTAACAAATGACTCAAATGAAGCCATGCATGATCTTTCTATGTAATTTATCACTTGAAATATAATTGTGTGTGTGTGTGTGTGTGTGTGTGTGTGTGTGTGTGTGTGTGTGTGTGTGTGTGTGTATACAGTATTGTGGATACTGTGGCTGAATGGGTGTCATTGTTAGATTCTTGCATGCAGTGTCTGGAGCGTCTGATACATGTTAAAAAGAAGAGGGGGGGGGGCATCGTCGAGAAACATGGAGCCAGCTTATGCCCGATAGAGCAGACGCCCTTAATAATGTACAAAAGCCCCCCAGTCCCCTACCCCAAAAAATCCCTCCTTTTCCTGAGAGACTCGCTCACTTGTCACAGGTACAGTGGCGTATTGTCTCAGCTGCATTTGCGGAATATATAATCATCATCACATGATGTAGACCTGTACGATATAAAATTTATAATGAGAGGTATAAGAAGAGTTCAGTGTCATAGCGCTGTCTTTTCTCGTCAGTGTCAGAATGAAGCAGTAATACAGTATTGTGTTTGAAGTGGACATTACAGTTGCTCCTATTTTGGTTAGCTCATTGAGTGACATGAACTGGACTTCCTCATCTTTGTCTCTAGAGTGTTAATATGGCTGACTGCTGTCATCGTAGCTGCTCACACACTAACAAACACACACACATCCCATAAAATACAATACTGTCTATTTTTAGCGCCGCCTTGAATAATGCATTACTTTGCAGTCAGTGTATACAGCACACCGACTGTGCCCTCCACATGCATGCAGAGTGTGAAGTACCAAGAAGCAACACATGCGCAACTCCTCTGAAATGCAACGCGCTAATCATTTATTAGCTTCAGTTGGGGAATTAATGATGACATGAATTACTGTCATTTCCCGGAATCTCCACTATTAGTTTGTGTAATCTTTTCACTTGAATGTCTCACATTTTCTTGTGTTCATTTGTGTCCGTTTCAGGCCTTAGATGTGGACCGCAGTGTTCTATATAAGATGAAAAAATCTGTCAAGGCCATCTACACATCTGGTTTGGGTGAGTTTTGCTACTTTTTTTTTACTTTGATCAAAAATGCAAGGCAAGAGGTTATTTTTGGGTCACTGTTCATGAGCAGGATTGCACAAAAATAACAGAACCAGCTTCTGTGTTATCAGGATGGAAGCAGCGCTGAGGACCCAAACTCAGGGAAGCAAGGCATGAGTGCAGTGTGGACCGAACAATATTTATTAATAAGAAAAGAAAAAGAATAGCAATCGTGCTGGGGAATGATCGAAATACCAACTCCACAAAGTCCGAATAAAACTCAAAGTAACAAACAAAACATTGGGACATAAAACACTCACCACTACACGTAACAAAGACCAGACAAGGGTACGCACCAGCAACGATGATCCGGCAAAGACTAAACAAAAGCAGCGAGTTGCACACTATAACCAAATGAGACAGGACAAGACATGAACCACAAGAAAACAAAACAGAAAATGAAACCAAACACAAAGCTAAACAAACACATGGATCATGACAGGTGTATCATTTGTTGATGGTTAACTAAAGACGCGGATGAAAAAATGATGGTTCAGATGTAAGAATCAGTTTTTTTTTTGGGGGGGGAGCTGTTACAGTCAACTTGCATTGGGACAAAGCCCCACATTCTGCAGCTGGGCCTGCAACGGTGAAAAAGCTCATCCTTTAGAACACTTGTTACATATTTTGGAAGGGAGCAGTATGTTCCAGTAGGTTAGGATGTTTTTTACAAGTCAAATGGAAAACTCGGTGTCGCGCTACACTTTATTATCTCCGAGTTAGGGATGGGTACGTTTATCAGTTAAGGGATTACTTCATGGTTCAGGCTTCAGTTTATCTTGCAGAACTGATTGTTGACTCACCGTGTCTTGAAGCAAAGTGAAGTGCACTTCTTGACTGCAACCAGTAGATGTGATTAGAAAGTAGTTTGTGGACAATCCTGCAGTGGAACTGAGCTCTCTCCATGCAGACCTTAATTGTGGCTCTTCCAGATCGCTCAAGACAATACTGGCATGAAAACAGGAGTTGATGAAGTCATCATTAATACCTAATATTAATAATATTATTTTACATCATTCACATTTCATCTGGGGTCAAAGCAGTTTTAAAACCGTATGATGTCATCCAGTTTTTCCAGGCTGCTCAGTCCCAGAGTGAGTGCCTTTTTTTCTCCCCACAGAGGTTCGACACAGGGGTTGCTTCTGTAGGCAGAACACGTACATATTTGAGTTCAGACAGTGGAAGCATGCAGAGTTTGTGTGTGCGCCCGTGTGTGTGTGCGTGTTAGGAGGCTGATTGGCTGTCCCAGTGCTGAGTGTTTTCCAGCGTCTTTTGTTTGACCTGACAGAGCTGCCCGCTGATGGCGAGAAAGAAAGGAAGCCAGGGTGAGAGCCATTTGAACAATGTGGCGAGCACGTCTTCGGGTGAACACTGCGAGCAGTGTTGTGGTCTCTGCGACAGCTGCCTGATTCAGACTCTCAAAGGAACAGCTGGGAGAGGGCCACTGAGGCGCGGACACACGCTTGTTTTTTCACGTCCTGTCACTCAGTCATTCACACGCATCGCTGGAATTACGTCTTTGTGGCCGTCTGCGTGAACATTTCGCACTTCGCTGGTTTTCCCTGCAGACGCTCCTGTTTGAATCTGCGTAATTAGTACGGCAGTTGGAGTTGAGTAAAGCGGTGTACGCGTACAGTATATTGATATTCAGGCGTAATTTGAGCATTATTCCTCCCTTTGAATCAAAGTCAGCTGAGGCCTGATTGACAGGTGTCTCTAAAGCCATCTAAGCGAGCATCCTGTGATGTGTGCTGTGTTCAGAAGGATTTTTCACTTTCACAGATGGAATTAGTTACTTGTGAGAAGTGAAACAAGGGATTTTAGGTAGGGATGCACCAACACCATATTTTTTTTCAGAGTACAGTGCGGTACTCGTCCAAGAACCAAATACCGATACTTGATAATGCCATAACGTCTTGTGCCATTGTGTTTTATTTCCTCATTATGTGTGGGGTCTCCCACATAAAAAAAGAAAAAATAATTGGTTGTTTACATCATACAATGTTAACAATCATTTTGTGCCATCTAAGCGAGCATCCTGTGATGTGTGCTGTGTTTAGCGGGATTTTTCATTAGTTACTTGTTAGAGGTGAAACAAGGGATTTTAGGTAGGGATGCACCAACACCATATTTTTTCTCAGAGTACTGTACTCGTCCAAGAACCAAATACCGATACTTGATAATGCCATAACGTCTTATGCCATTGTGTTTTATTTCCTCGTTATGTGTGGGGTCTCCCACATTAAAAAAAAAATTGGTTGTTAACATCATACGATGTTGACAATCATTATGCGTGTACCCCGTTTAAGGAGCAGGTCAGAGTTGCTTGCTTTCACTGCAAACAGGACCATGAGCTGTGACAACAAAACGGGAAATCCATGATAATGTTTACAGTAAAAACACTCTATTAGCTACCGGGCTGTTGGTACAATTTAAGCAATCGAGCCTTGCATGAGCATTTGGTTCGAGAAAAATCTACCCGGAGCCTCGTATGTTTATAATACAAACAGGTTGGCTTCATGAAACCCTCTGTGGCGATTTTCTTTTGGTCTCCTCAGTTGTCTAAGTCAAATATAAATATGCAGAGGAGTATTTATGACAACACGATCATGCTATTATAGTGTGAGAAGATACCGTAATAACATTTGTGCCATTGCACATTTTGGAGGGGAAGTGAATCAATACGATATAACTACACCCAACATTCTAAAAGTTATGGCTGTATTGTGCCTTACCAATCATTCCTACAACAGCAACTAAACTGAACTATCACAGCTCACAGTGATGGCGTAGTGGGATGCACATCTGCCTCACAGTTGAGTTTCCTCATGAATTTTTCCCTGGGTACTCCGGTTTCCTCTCACTTCCTCAAAACATTCTTTCATCAGTTAACTGGAGGCGCTGCGTGAATATGAGTTTGAACGGTTATTTGCGTATACACACGCTGCCACTGGCTGCCAACCAGTTCATGGTGTTAAACTACACCCAACATTCTAAAAGTTATGGCTGTATTGTGCCTTACCAACCATTCCTACAACAGCAACTAAACTATCACAGCTCACATTGATGGCGTAGTGGGATGCACATCTGCCTCACAGTTGAGTTTCCTCATGAATTTTTCCCTGGGTACTCCGGTTTCCTCTCACTTCCTCAAAACATTCTTTCATCAGTTAACTGGAGGCGCTGCGTGAATATGAGTTTGAACGGTTCTTTGTGTATATACACACTGCCACTGGCTGCCAACCAGTTCATGGTGTTAGTATTTTAATTTGCATTTGAGTTCAGATGGTTCATGAAACATCAGGTGTCAAAAATGGTTGGTTTACTATAAATGTACAGTATTCGCGTCTTGTCTTCAGAAACTGCAAGCTGCGTAAGTCTGTGTTCCCTACCAAGTAAAATGCTGCTGTGGTCGCACAATTCGGAATTAGAAAAAATACATTAAAATGTATAGAGTTTAAAAATGAAAGGGCAGAAGCAAAGCGGATGAAATTAAGCCCTTCCACAAATACCCTGATTATAATTGATATTCATTTTACAAATAATATATCAGCTGTATGTAAGTTTTAATATTACAAACGGCAGCAAAACAAAACACAAATCCATCATATGAGATTTCAGAGTCTGCATAAAGCTATTCTTTTTCCTCCATGATTTTACATAATGAAAATTTCCCCATGTTCCCCGTAGGGGATGCTGGGGATAGCGCTTCTCTGACAGCCTCAACATTGCTAGTGCCCACACCCCCCTACCCCCAGAATTACCTTGTCCTGAACCCCTTGTGAGCTTGTGTGTGAGTAGTGATGAAGATGATGAGCAGAAAAATTGGAGGAGAACATGACCTTGAGTTTTTCTGCATGGTGAACGTGGTGACAAGGAGCCATGACTTACTATGAGGCAGTGAGGGAGGAGCAGTACTTGGGGAGCCTTGTGGAAGGTGAGCAAGAGAATACGAGTTTGCTGCAGGGCCCTGTCAGCTTGTTCGTCGTGTCTGATGAATAAACAAGCAGCATATTCCTGGATGCCAACAGAAAAAGGAAGTCAGACAGACACAAACGAAGGAAATTATTGCATGCATCGAGATACACACTTAATTTAAGATGAAAAAAAAGTGGAAGAGAGTCCAGATTGACCTTATTCTAGGTGATTTTTCACAATATAGGAAGAATGAATGCCTCTTAAGTATTTTTATAGTACCCGTCTGGATGTGTTCGTACAGCGTTGGTGTGAATATTTGTATTTTCAAGGTAAATAGATCCCATAACATCCAATGCTAATTTTTGCTAGCCTGTTAATGTGGTTTCCCATTGACTGTGAGCAAAAAGCTTGGGATGTTTGTATTTGAACATACATTGTGTGTTTTTGTTCTTGTGTGTTTAATCTTATTTATTTTTTATTTTTACTCCAACTTTGTGAGTGCGAGGTGCAATAAATATCTTTACGCATGCTCAGCAAGGACAGAAAAACGCAAAACATGGGCATCCAGGGTGCTTTAACAAAGCAGGAACTTTTCTTCTGATTGTGGGTCGCCAAAATTAAAACCACAATTCATTTAATTCTATTAATTGCTCAACCATATTAAAAAAAGTCATTTTTTCCTATAATAGAAAATGGATTTTCTGGGTCACTCCTTCCTTGTGTCTCGAATGTAGTTGCCATTGGTGAAAACGTAAAAAGGAAGTGGAAAAAAAAAACAAGAATCTTTGTACGCTGCCCATACGGTAAAATGTTTGGTGAAAGCCTTGCCATGACTTGATCTTGCGTCTTAAATTAGATTTTTTTGATGAGTTTTTTCACTCAGTGACTCAGAGGCTTTCAGCTAATAAGACCATGCATATCTGCCGAGTCACAGACATGATGTTATCGAGCCTCATCTATAAACCTGACACATGGCTGAACACTGATTCTGTCTGCTTTTGATCAACAGCATGTGTGTGTGTCTGTTTGTGTGTGAGTCACGGCAGCGCTGCTCCAGGTGTGTTTTAGTGCTCACCTTTGCATTTTTACATGCTCCTCCTCTTTGTTAGCTTAGCGCTAACCTACCAGTACCATGCGCGCGCGCACACACACACACACACACACATACGTCATATTTCTTAGTGATGGTTGTCATAGCAACAGCCCCCCCTGAGCCCCTTCCCCAGCTCCACTGCTGTCCTGATTATATTAGCTGTTCCTCTCTCATCCAAGACGGCATGTGGATAGGGTGCTCTTTAGACACAATGGAAGGTTCTCCGGACTAGTTTGTGCATCTTTATGTTTTTGTTTTACATCCAGTTTATAAAATAAGATAACCTTTATTTGTCCCACACTGGGGAAATTTGCAGTCTACAGCAGCAAAATTGGAGGAGGGGTGGGGGGGTAGAAAAGAAAAAAAAACTCTGGTGTTGCTTTTTAAATTTTCAGCCACAAAACAACAAAAATGATATTTCTTTGGCTGTCAAAACTTGTAGTGTTACACCCTCCCTTAGTTGCAACATTGAAAATGTCCCAAATGAACAGAGGTGGGTAGTCGTAACGCGCAACATTTACTGTTACATTTACTCAATAAATTTTTGGGTTAAATTGTACTTGCCAGAGTAGTTTGGCTGCAACATACTTTTGACTTTTACTTGAGTATACAGTATATGTTAAGGAGAAACGGTCCTCTTATTCCATTACATTGATCTGCATTCCGTTCACTGCTTTCATTTTTATCCATTTATTAATTTATGGGTTGCGCGCTAGATTTTTTGGGAGGAGTGGTGGAGGCTCTTTGAAACTTCCTGCTCAGGTGCCGGTCACCAATGAAATTTCATCATTTGTGAAGTTTGACTACATTTGACCAATCAAACAGAGCCAGGCAGGCGGCCATATGACCGCACACCCTTTTTTAAATACAGTATACCTTTTTTACACTAGGTAAACGTGTGAGTGAATTAAGGTGACATTTCAGTATCTATCTCTATATTTTGTAACATTTTTGTTTAGTGGTCTGCCATAAGATTTGATTGACTCAATAGTGAGAAACACTGTTTTATATAATCCTTGAGCTGTCAAAACTGACCTGGATCTGTTTGTGTGTGTGTTTTTTGGGTGTTTTTTTCTGTCCAGCTCACGTTGAGAATGAGGAGCAGTACACTCAGGCATTGGAGAAGTTTGGAGAAAATTGTGTGTACAGAGACGATCCTGATTTGGGATCGGCGTTCCTCAAGTTCTCCGTCTTCACCAAGGAGCTCACTGCACTCTTCAAAAACCTAGTGAGTCTAGCCAATGAGGAGGAGGACAAGTGGACACAGTGGCGGGTGGTAAAATCCATTGGGGAGAGAGAGGATTTCCATTTTGTCCTTAATTGCCCCAATCCCCAAGAGGCCAACACAAACACTGCACTTCTGTGTGTGTGTGAGTGTGTGTGTGTGTGTGTGTGTGTGTGTGTGTGTGAAGCCCCGGTTTTGCACGGAGGCGGCCAATGAGCCGCTCCCACTTCTTATTTCAGGTTGATAATCAAGTCTGAGCCTCCTCCTCCAATAGCAGCTTGTGTATCCAGTCCAACCCTCTATGAAGTACTCGCTTGATGCTGCTTGACTGCTGTGCTGACACTGATATGACGCAATTTAGTCTCAATGATGCCTTAAATTAAAGTAATGTGAGATGCTGTCAAACTCGGATCTGGATGCGAAAGCTTGCAATTGGAGCCAGCCTTTTAGAGAAGCTTTTAAACAGTGGAACTTAATTTCTGAACATATAGTATTACTACACGCGTGTGCGCTTTCACACAGCGGCACAGCTTCCCACAATCAGTTGTGTGACAACGTCAGGTCCAGCATCGGGTTTGATGTATAAAATACTTTTGCTTTCAACACAGCAGAGTGCGAGGAGTGTTAAAATATATACCCATGCTCGCCATTTTGGAATACAATTATGCATTGATGACGTGCCGCCTTATAACGACTCTGATGCTACCTACATCTGAAGGCATGAAATTCAAGTCAAGTCATTTGAATTTATTAATAAAGCAAAAATTGTCCTTAAGATTCTGAAAACTGTGTTGAAACATATTGAGAGGTGTTCCTAATAATTTAGTTACAAAAACACTCAAAGCATTTGACCTCAGCAGCTTCTGGGTGTGTCTCTCTTGTCCAGTTCCAGAACATGAACAACATCATCACCTTTCCTCTGGACAGCCTACTGAAAGGAGACCTGAAAGGAGTCAAAGGGGTAAGTCAGCGCTGTTTTGGTGTCACTTTACAAGCAAACTTTTACGAATGGGATGGATGACATGCTTGGAGGTTTTTGCTGAATTATCATCAAACCTGAAGTTAGGTGATTTGCTCAAAGGCATTTCAACCACAAAAGAGGTGGCGATCATGGAGAACTCTTTGTCGTTTGGGGTATTTTAACCTGTGGCCCTTCTGTCATGGGCTGCATTCTTTACACGAGGCTGGTAGCTATAGAAACATGTCCCCATGGTCTGTCTTTCTATCTCGGAACTCTTTGTCTCTCCTTGTTCTTTTTTGTCTCCGCATCAATGTTTTCCCCAACAGTCTGACATGGCTTCCTGTTATTGTTCTCGCAACTCTCTGCACCTTTCTGCTCTTCCCCCTTTTGCGAAATTCCACAGTCTCTCTACTCCGCTCCTTCCTAATGCTTGGCCACTCATAGTTGAATAGAAATTTGAATGATTCTCATTAAACCAATGCAATGGAGTTAATGAGCGGTTGAACTTTTTGTCACCTCACATACAGGTAACATTAATGTCACGACTACTGTAATGTGAGTTAAACTCTCCTCAGCAACCTGTTGCTCAAGGCAATATTCAGCAGTATTCCCACTCCTCTTCTCACCTCCAACGTCTTCTTCCTCTTTCTCCATTATCACTCTGTGTGGCTTTCCCACGAGACCGACCTGTCAGCAAATGGGGGAAACAGGATCATGTCCAGACTCGCTTGACAAGCTGTTGAAGCCATGGGGAGAAAAAGACAAAGTAACAACTCAACTTGAACGTCATAAAAAGAGACTGGAGAAGTCTGTGAAAAGGAAAAGAAGTCAAGAACTATGTTTAATGAATGCCACTCATCACGAATGTTAAGTGGATAAAAAAAGCGCAGTCGTGTGTGGAGAAATGCTGCACAATTTAAAAAAAAAAAACCCTGAAAGCTTTTATGCTCATTAGCACTTGAGAGTAAAATTGCATTCAAGGCCTTTGCAAATGTCCCAATTGGAGCCTACAAAAGTCAGCTTATGAATTTCAAAAAACATAGCTGACAACTTTGGAATCCAAGCAGCCCTATTTGCTTTGTTTTTTATCCTCAGCTTTGAATAATAATAATAATAATAATAATTGTAATAATCTCTGTAATTAATACAGAGAGGATACGGTGGCATGTACTACTCATGAAAACTGAGAGATACAGTATTCGTCTTTCGGTTGAAATTTCACGATGAACCAAAAATTGTACGTGCAAGGCTTCAAACAGGATACTCTAAAATGCAAGTGGCCACTGATCTTAGTGTGTCACAGAATGTCATCAGCACATTGCAACAGAGATACAGGGGGACTGGAGGAGTCACAGAAAGACATGGACATTGATATCTGTAGAGAAAAAAAAAACACCGGTTGTGATTTTTGCTGTTAATTTCCTTGGTTGAGATCAGCAAGTTGCTCGAAAAGTACCAAAAAAAAAAAAACGAAACAATTGGACATTCAAAAGGTGAATGAAGGTCAGATTAAGTTGACCTTTCAAGGTTATAGTGAGAGGTGTCATAAAAAACACTCTAAATTGGACAATTCGTTTGGATTTAATAGAAGTAGTGTATTGAATCGAACCGAATGTTTAAACTCGATCGAGTCATGCATTGAATCATCTTTAATTGTAGAGATATATCATTGCAGGAATGCCACATTTAAAATATTGACAAGTTCATTCATCCGTCACTAAAATGACAACAAGGAACTTAGTGCATCACATCCTCTCAAACCAAGAGGCATCCTATAGAATCGAATCGTGATTCTCCAATTTCTATGCAGAAACAAATTTGAATGGGGATATTTTTCTTTCATTTTTACGGTTTATATAGTCTTTTATGTTATCTCTTTGGACACCTACATTGTTGTGAATTGTCAGATTTCTGCACCTCAGTACAGTACATTAACTTCCAAATCGGAACGCCAACCCATTTTTGTAGTCCAAAGCAGGAAATTTTTGGACTTCCCACTTTTGTGGAATGCGGCATTAATTTCCTGGTGGTTAATGCTTTCCACAAACATGTCAATACTCCCCCACTACAGTCTTCAGTCATGCTAATAATAATGGCGTGATAGTGACTAATCTAGCAACCTTTCTAGGTTTTGCCCCGCAAAGAAAAAAAATGCTCCACGTCATCTCTTTTCATTTCACCACCCAAGACAATCTGGACTTTGTTTGGATTAGTCTGAGTCCAGCTTCCACAAAATGACCGTGGATGGGTTCCTGCAGGACCTGCTGTTGTCCCCCTTAAAGATAAACAGACATAATACACTCCCAGGCAGTGGAAAATGGAAAGTGCTGAGTCTAAAAGTCGGTTGTGCTAACGGGGGATTTTCATCGTGGACAGCAACATGATGTCATTCTTGTAGCCAACCCTCTCGGCAGCATCAGCCATCCCGTGGTTAGACGGGCACTGTCGAATCATCCGTGTTTGGACAAGTAAGGCGCGAGATGAGAGGGCGTTAGTGGTTCTGAATGGAGCCACAAGAGTCCAGCTGAGCCCTGTCCCATTGTGGTTCAGTGGCTCGTGAACCACCCACTCCCGCTTACCGCTTGAGATTTTTAGATGAAAACAGTCGCCTGTTCAGAGAGTCTGCAAAAAGTGTTTCATAAAACTGTACTGTAGTCATAGATTACAGTAAATACTGTAGTTAAACCATAATAATAGCCAGTGGTTGGATGGTTACCATTATTCATTGTCACTGTAAAAACTAGAGCCCGACCAATTAAGCGGCAGGCCAAAACATTGGCCAAAATAAACAGCCAAATGGCCGACTTTTGCCGATTGTCTTTAGCTGTATGTATTCTAACCATTTACAGCAGATTTAACCAGTAACGCTGGTTTAATGAATTATTAGACGTAAATCTATACAATAACCTAAAACCTTCGCCGATAGACCTTGTTTCATTGCCGTTACTAGCATCGCTCAAAAAATGTGTGGGTGAAACCATTCCAATTTTGTGCGAATCCATACTGATGATCTGCCCATTTTCTGTGTAGCTATCTTGTTCAGCGTCTTGGCAGAGGCTAGACTAAGACAGCTGACTTTTGATGAAAGACAGACTACACCCTTGGCTTTTTGTCAAATGATCACAGGGTGCTTGTGAACAGGGAATTCAATGGGAATCGATCCCACGGCAGCTGTATGGAAGTCAGATATGTGAACCACTACGCTTAGTATCATCCTTAAATTGCAATTCCGGGATTTTTTTATTATTATTTTTTTCAGTGAACATGATCATGAGCTGCCCTCTGTGCTCCTGTTTGATCTATTTTGAGTAAATTGAAGTACCTGTATATAGATGAACTCTTTCCATAGTACAAAACCTGGTCTTCACTAGTGCTGATCTTGCTGCACGGAAGTGGTAGCGTGACTGAGGAAAGCGCAAGAGCAGCCAGTATTGCTGGTAGGTGGTGGCAGATTTGCTAATGGAAGCAATTTTTAAGGGCATGACACGATGTTCTAGCTTCTTTACTGACTCCCAGCCAGAATGGGAGCAAGTGTACTAAAAGCTGCTTCTCCCAGAGGGAGTATTATGCCCTGTCTCTTGGCCTATTCTGCCATTCCCTGTCTAGCCATGCCCACGTGTGGTATTTTGAGCCATTACTGTTTTTCTCGTTTCTCAGCCTCTGACATTTCCTTCCGTCGACCCTTTTCCAGGTTGTTTTCGCAGCTTCCTGTGGTTTCTAACCTTTGCTTTCCAGGCTTTTCTTTGTGATCTACTCCTCACTCTCATGCCTTCTACCCTTGAACGATTCGGTGAGTGGCAGAGTGCTCTTGGATTTGGTTCAGTGGACCAAACCTGATCCCGGGGTTTTGAGAAGTTGAGCACGCCACTCCTCTGCAGCTTAAGGAAACATCGATAGTGGAATCGCTGTCCCCTGTGGAACTGAAACTATGGCATTCCACTTTCTAAGCCCATGTTGCTTACGTCATTCTTTTTACAGAAAAAAAAAATCTAAAATCAGTTTTGTATGGATATAACCCGTTGGTAGTCTCATAGTTCTGACTCTGAATCTGTTTACTGTGGAATTGTGTGACACTCATAGCTGTCTACTTACACCGGACCGAGTCTGTGTTTAATTAGCACCACCACAGCAGGGATGCTGTTTAATCAAAGGTTTTCTTCGAGCGGTTGGTTAAAGCTTGCCCTTGATAATGAAAAAAAATCAGCGTTGCCTGTCGTAGGCGTGACCCGGGGAATTAAATGTCCTTCAAACAATCACATGGCCTCCCTGTGCCCTGCTGAGACAGCTGTGGGCTGCATCTAAGTGGAAGGTGATTTGGTTCTGTTGATTCTCATCGTCACATACACATCGACTTTGCTCATTAGTCACGATGGAAGCTCTCAGCGTGTTGCATTCCGCTCAGTGGATACTTGCATTCCTGTTTTTGTCTCGCTGTACAACCATGGTTGCTTTGTCTTTAAACCATTTTTTTAAATAACTAAGCAACTTTATTTGCAGATCAGTGATGAGATACCCCTTGATTAATTATCATGAATACTTTTTAAATGCAGCAAAAGTTCATACCTGCTATTTTTGTGGGAAAAATACAGGACCAAAACTCTTCATTCTGGATTTTTCCTTGTTTGTTGGTTGACTAATCAGCAGGAATTGGACAATCATCTTTTCATTTGTGGGTCAGTGTTACTTGATGCAATGTTTTGGGAAAAAAACACATTTTTATTCCAAGATGTCCCTTCATTTCTTACATTTGATTAGCGGATAATAAATATTGTTTCATCAAAAAATAAGAATCCATGAATGGATTGGTTGATACCTTTCTGCATAGTCAGTCACGGAAATTCAGTCAGTCATTCCATCCACATCAACATTCTGCTCTGGGATGCACAAGTACTGTTATCTGTGACTACAATACAGTTTTATTATACACATTTTCAGTCTCCACAAATGTCATGTACCCCCCTTTTTTTTTTCCCTGCACAGGATCTGAAAAAACCTTTTGACAAAGCCTGGAAGGACTACGAAACTAAAGTGTAAGGTGGCTGATTCCAGCCAATTTGAATTGTTCATTTTGAAATGTGCCTTTGTTGACTGGACTAACCACTCTCCCTTGCTTTGACATCCCCTGTGATTTTTCTCTCACTTCCACAACATTGTAAAGAACCTCTGTCGTCATAACCTCCTCCTCACTGAGAAGCCCGCATCCTTGTGGTTGTGCATGCAAAATAAATACAAAAACGGTGCTTTTTATAAATATATATATCTTACAAGCTGCAAAGGACATTCCTTACTGAAAGGGTAATACATCCTCTCTCCAAACCTTTTTAATTAGAAAGTTCAATCTTGGTAACAACATCAAGCATTCAGCCTGGTGCTGCATGGCATTAGTCCAACATCAGTCAGGTCAACTTGTGTGCCTGAAGGGATAAATCCAGCAAAAGCACTCGTGATCTGCCGCATTTGAATTTCCAGTTTGGAGCATCATGCCACTTTTAATACTGTTTGTTCAGGGGTTGAGATTCACTTTTTGTATTTCCTGACTAAAATCTGAACGCAGAAGGCATTCTCATGTAAGACAATAGTTTTTCAATTGATACAGATGTGAATGGAAAATGCTTCCTGAACTGACAACACTGAAAGTGAATAGATTCTCCGCTCCGTCATCACTTGAACAACAGTTGTCCTGGCTCGTGCCCAAACAGCATGGCAAAAATTAGCGACAGCCATGATGACTCTATAAAACACGGTGATGCGCTGCCATAGTTTGGCACACTCACGTCAACGAAATGTCAAGTTCAGCATTGAACTGAATCTCGAAACTCAAAGCCATTTTCATTACGGGCCAGATTGTATCGGCCAGTTAAACTCAAAATGGATATATAATCTCCTCATCAGATTATTACGTGTACACAATTGTCCCTGCTTTCGGGCAGAAAGAATTACCGGTAATTGAATAATTCCAATAAGTGCATTGCAAAAAAGTCAAAGAAAAATCAAAATTAAGTTGAGCGATGGTGGTGAGCAGTGGCAGTAGGTAGTGTGTCAAAGAGGGAGAATGTCCAAAGTTTGGGATAATTTTACACTTAAAAACAAAGTTAAATGACAGTGTCGCCAATAAAAAGCATAATTAACAGACTACAGCAGCCTGTCTACGATTGTAGCACAAGATACCCACGCTATTTTAATGTAGCCTACCACCGCCAGTTAAAGTTTATTGTAATGACCAAGCGGAAAATTGCAGGGTGACTTGGACCCTCCTTTTTATGTCGGTGCTATTCATACAGAATGGTGAAAGGCTAAAAAAGACACACTTGCTGAGTTTTACAGGCTGTTCAGAATGGGCCGCTGTCACATGCGCGCTTTACACGAGATGCAATGTTCTTTAAAAACAAAACGGCTTGTTCGCGCAATGGCCTCCTTCCATCTTTTTTTAACTTAATGGGCAGACAGATGCTGAAAACTAATGACTTCATATAATCTCTACATGACCACTCATCAAACACGCTGCAATATTTCTGAAATGAATAATCCAAGAAGTGCATCCTTTTTGCTAAATACGCCAAAGAATACCGACCACACGTTGCATGGAAATGGAGCCAACCCTCCGTTGTATGTGTTTCTCTCATTGCCTGCAGGAGTATGCACCATTGTTGGTCTTTGTTTAAAATCACATCCAGAAATTGGCAAGATACTCTCTCAAAATAAATCCCCTCATTTGTTTGTTTGCTTTTAAAACCAATAAAAATAAAGTAAAGGGAGTGATTTCTCACAAAGACCATTGTTGACCGTCTATTTGCGTTCACCGGCGGAGTTGAGGCGAATCAAATTTACCCCTGCAATCTTTCTCCTTGCCAGCACCAAGATAGAGAAGGAGAAGAAGGAGCATGCAAAGCAGCACGGCATGATCAGGACCGAGATTAGTGGGGCGGAAATTGCAGAGGAGATGGAGAAGGAGAGGAGATTCTTTCAGCTGCAGATGTGTGAGGTTAGTTTTGTTTAATTATTGCCGCTTGCCAAATTCCACTTGATTGGCGCTACTTTGATACCTCTGAGGTTGAACGCAATCCTTTCTGGGATGTTGGTCGACCTCACATTTGTTGGATTTGAAAAAAAAATCTTCTGGAAATACTGGAGAAATAATGTTGGCATCATCATACTTAATGAAATGTAAACCACTCGACGTTATAAATAAATTAAATGTGCAAAAGCTAGTACTTGTATCAGATGCATGATTGTGTTTCAAATTGCTGTCATTTTGCATTATGCCACTTCAGGTCTGTTTGAATTTATGGTTCCCCTATTTTACTACTTTCTAAAAAATGGCCACGAAAGCGCCAACCATAAGTAATAGCTGTTTGGAAAAATAACACTTTCACCAGAAAGAGTGCAAATGCCATTGTTGGACAAATATTTCAATCCAAAAGGTGTGTCCTTTGGATTTCGGATGCACACTTCATATGCTTTGTGATTGTAAAGTCTGAGCCGTTTTGATTTAAGATTTACTTTCACGAACTTGAAAGATACCACTTTGACTTTGAAGTGAACAAGATGAAAAGGGAGTGAAAATGTATTTAGAACAAAAATGTTCCCTCTGGCTGAACCTTTGTCCAAGCAAATCCATTTTGACATTTTTCGCAGTATCTGCTCAAAGTCAACGAGATCAAAATCAAGAAGGGAGTGGACCTGTTGCAGAACCTCATCAAGTACTTCCATGCACAGTGCAAGTACGACATACGCCCTATTTGGATTCATGCAATACCCTTAACAAATATTCATGGAAATACATTCACTAGTTTTTGCTCACTTTCTTGGTCAAGGTAAAACCTGACCAGGGTTATAATAGTTTGGGAATTTTCATTGTACCCTATTTGGTTTTTATTTCGTCTTCAGTTTTGTTTCTTCTTAGTTTTTATTCAATTTTGTTTTACAAAAAAACGCTTCATTTTAGTTTAGTTTTAATTAATTTGAGGGTTTTTTTTTAATTCATTGTATTTCTTGTATGCAAGATTAAAAAAAATCACAATAAGTATTTTGAGATAAAAATAAAGCATACATCTTAGTTTACATTAAAAAAAAAACACAAACATCCACAAATCAAATACAGGTAATAGCAGTCCACAGACTCTGAAGTACAATAAGGACAGTGTTTTGCTGCTAGATGGATCGCAACCCAAAAAAGACTGAAATAAATCTAGGATGTACTCGCTTTGCATCCCTGCTTTGCCAAATTGCTCACTTCTAAAGTGGATTTGTGGCTTGAATTCTTGTTGAGAAGTATTTATTAAAAAAAAAAAATCTCCAAATATGAACCAAAAACGGAGCCCGCTTGGGAACTTGCGGTGCGTGCCGGGCTGAGTGAAGTGACAAAAGCAGCAAACACAAAAGCTCGTCGCCTCGGAGCGAAATCGTCTGTTGGTGGCCACAACTCCCTGTTGACTGTTCTGTGGTATTGAAATAAATACATTTAAAATCAACTCCAAAGCCTCATCTAATAAATGAATGAAACAAAGACGAAGATTAAAATGAAGGACTATTTTGCTATAATTATAGGACGTTTTCATTAGTTTTGTGAACATAACATGTAGTTTCAGTTTGTTTTTCAAAAAGTATTTTCGTTTTTATTTTATTTCAGTAGCAACATTTTTTTTTTCAATTTTAATTTGTTATTCTATTATGTTTTTGTTCAGTTTTTTTCAGGATGGTCTCAAAGCTGTGGACAACTTGAAGCCTTCCATTGAAAAACTGGCCACCGATCTACACACAGTGAGGATTATTTTCTTTCCACTTCTTGAACCTCCAGTCTTTTGCTCTATACAACATTTTTGTATGTCATCACCAGATAAAACAAGTGCAAGATGAGGAGCGCAAGCAGCTGACTCAGTTAAGGGATGTTCTTAAGACGGCGCTACAAGTGGAGCAGAAGGAGGTAACAGACACACTCGACTGTATTTTGTTATTCAAAATATACCCTAAAAGTGATTACTTTCGGAACTGTTCATTTTTTTCTAAAGTTTACTGTGAATCTGTTGTCATATTGTTCCTTTTAGGCGACTTTAAAATTGTGCAATCTCTGGCGTCTGATTAGACAACTTTTGAAGTTCCACTCTAAGCACACACAAGTCCTCATTTGGTTAATCCGTATGCACAAAGAACTGTTGAAAATGTTAAAAATTGCATCTTCATCTTATCTGAAGTTTTCTCCTCTTTCTTACCGCCTCCACAATTCGTGAAACAAGTCTAGAAGAGTAAGTGTATCAAAACCAAACACAATTATGTATATTTTCATGTTGTTATTATCGGTGTTTTGCTTGTTTGTCGCATTGCTTGATTTGTTGAAATTAACTTTTTTTTTTATTGGGTGGAGGGTTGTGCGCAATTTTTTGGGGGCGAGGGGAGAAATGTGATCCTGTTGGCTATGTGCACGTCTGCTGTTAAGATATCAATATCGATACAATGGTATTAGTTTCATCACTGGCCTGGAGAAGTTTCCAGTTACCATACAGTACTCCTTGCTTTATTTTGGAGTAGGCCCTTACTACAGTGATATCATCCACCTGTCAATGTTGATATTGATTATTGATGGATAAAAGCTCCCGCTACAATATTTCCTTGGTGTGTGTTTTTCCAGGAATCCCAGGTGCGGCAGAGCACCACCTACAGTTTACATCAGCCGCAAGGCAACAAAGAGCACGGCACCGAGCGCAGCGGCTATCTTTACAAGAGAAGTGATGGGTAGGTTTTTAAAACAAACAAAAAAAAGTAGTACCGGTAGTTTTTTTTTTTTTGTCCACTGTAGATAGATACTTGAGTCATCCGCCGTTTTTTGTGACGCTTTTAGAGAAATATTAATGTAACCAAATGCGGTTGTAGTTTGTCTTGGTATAAAAATGCCTAACATGCATTTGTACAAACTATCCAATGGAACGTGTCTTATCTATGCCTCCGTGCCTCTGCTGATGAACTTGTGCTGCAGTTTGAGGAAAGTATGGCAGAAGAGGAAATGCACAGCAAAGAACGGATCCCTCACCATCCCGCACAGCACCGTAAGAAAAGCACCACTGTATAAACAAACAACATTAATGCGTTATGAGTCGCTTATGATGAAGTTTTTTTTCAACTGAAATGGATTGATTTCATCCCCATTGCCTGCTAATATATCCAATGTTGTCAACTCCACATCACCTTCTTTTGTCCGTCTTGCAGGCAACCAGACCGCCGGCCAAACTCAATTTGCTCACCTGTCAGGTGAAGCACAATCCCGATGAGAAGAAGAGCTTTGACCTCATATCTCGTAAGACCAGCCCTTCTTTTTACTTTGATGGATGAATGGAATTCTTTCAGATGGTGCAATGTGGTGGTTTTTGCTAGCTGTAGGCTGTATCCATCAAAATGACAAAATCATGAACAATTTGACTTCTTGTGGGGAGAATCTTTGAGTTTCACTTTTTGAATTGAACTACTGAAATAAACAATTTCTTCACAATATTCTAATTTATTGAGATGCGGCTGTAATTCGGTGCTCATCCAGAAAATCATTCAATTCTGATATATTTCCGGACTAAAGTTATAATGTTATCAGGATTAGTTTTGTTGTTGGTGAAAAATGTCTCTACCAATAAGTCTTTTCGGTGTAAAAATCTATTAAGATTTCAAGATTTCTTTGGCCTTATAATCAAGCCTATACAATGTACAGTAACATAAATCAATCCTTAAGCTTTCCGAACGAGAACATCATCCAAGGTCTTAACAATTTTGATTTCCATTTTAAAATGTTGCCAAATCAACTCAATGATGAATTAATTCTCTGCTTAATTTTCTTTCAGATGACAGAACGTATCACTTTCAGGCCGAAGATGACCAGGACTGCCAAATGTAAGAGCCCATTTGGTCTTTTTCCTAAAGAGAGTCTTCACTCAAGTTCCTCCTGTTTACCCACTTGAACAATTTTCCAGTTCACACAGAGACTATTTACCCCACTTTCACTTCACCCTTTGTTCATTCTCACCTACTTTCTCTTCCTCCTCATCCCTTCCTGTGTGTGTCTTCTCTCCTCCTCCTCCCTGCAGTTGGATCTCAGTGCTCCAGAACAGCAAGGAGGAGGCGCTGAACCAGGCCTTCAAAGGCGACCAGCATGTCGGCGAGAACAACATCGTGCAGGAATTGACCAAGGCCATCCTGGCCGAAGTGAAGAGGATGACGGGGAATGACGTGTGCTGCGATTGTGGAGCGCCCAGTAAGTGATGACAATGGAATATGATTGACAGGAAAAAAAATCAATCCAGTTGTCCACCGTGCCGCCACACAGCATATAATATGGTTTATCATTTTGAAGGGATTTGTATTTAAATCCCCACAGTAAATTTGACCATGTGTCCTTCAGCAGTCATATAAAGCCAGTTTGGACTAAAAAGACGTTTGGCAGCTGTTAAACTTTTTCAAGGACATGTCACAGTTTCACACTCGCGACACACCTTCCACGGCTCTTTGTGTCGAAAGCAATTGTTGTTCTAGCACTGACATCACCATTGGATGAATAAATCCGACTATTATGCCTCTGATGTGCTAATTTACTGGGCACGCAGGTGAAAGAGGATTATTCCACAAATGGTTGATGGTGGGAGGCCTCGATTTGTACATATATTGTCCATTTTAAAAAATAAGATTGAAACAGGTGTAAGCAAAATATGCCTTGAGGACTACATATGGTCTCTTTACATTATCAAAAGCGCTATTATATTTGTTGCACGTATAGTTTTTGAGCTTGATTAGTTCAAATGCATTCATTCATTTTTAAATTAATTTTCATTCATTTATCCTGTGAAATAATGGACTCATTTATTCTGAATAGTGATATGAAATATTTGTACAATTAATTTCCATATACGTTCATTGATTAATTAATTATGTTATCACTCTTCCTGATGGTGAAATCGAGGTGTCTTTTTGAGCTACTTGTGCCATGTTATCGACAGTACAGACACTTTTTGAGGAAATGCAATATCTGCAGTCCAACATGCAATTTTCTTGTTCTTTTTCCAGACCCGACGTGGCTCTCCACCAACTTGGGCATCCTCACGTGTATTGAATGTTCCGGCATCCACCGGGAGCTGGGAGTCCATTACTCCAGGATCCAGTCACTCACTCTGGATGTACTTAGCACCTCCGAGCTCTTGGTAGGCTACTGTTCGTATTTCTCATCTCCCTGTGCTCCTCCAGCTTTCGCATCCATAATTCTGGAAAATTGGGGCAGCATGAAAGCGGCAGAAGAGGTCGCCATACTTTGAATAGCTTGCATGTTTTGGAGGGTTTACAAATTGTTTGACTTTGACTCACCACCTGTGGCTGTGCGCCAGATAAAATGACCCCATGTTGTAAAACGCAGGGTACTGTTTGGGGGCGAGGGGAGAAATGTGATCCTGTTGGCTATGTGCACGTCTGCTGTTAAGATATCAATATCGATACAATGGTATTAGTTTCATCACTGGCCTGGAGAAGTTTCCAGTTACCATACAGTACTCCTTGCTTTATTTTGGAGTAGGCCCTTACTACAGTGATATCAATCACCTGTCAATGTTGATATTGATTATTGATGGATAAAAGCTCCCGCTACAATATTTCCTTGGTGTGTGTTTTTCCAGGAATCCCAGGTGCGGCAGAGCACCACCTACAGTTTACATCAGCCGCAAGGCAACAAAGAGCACGGCACCGAGCGCAGCGGCTATCTTTACAAGAGAAGTGATGGGTAGGTTTTTAAAACAAACAAAAAAAAGTAGTAATTTTTTTTTTTTTGTCCACTGTAGATAGATACTTGATTCATCCGCCGTTTTTTGTGACGCTTTTAGAGAAATATTAATGTAACCAAATGCGGTTGTAGTTTGTCTTGGTATAAAAATGCCTAACATGCATTTGTACAAACTGTCCAATGGAATGTGTCTTATCTATGCCTCCGTGCCTCTGCTGATGAACTTGTGCTGCAGTTTGAGGAAAGTATGGCAGAAGAGGAAATGCACAGCAAAGAACGGATACCTCACCATCCCGCACAGCACCGTAAGAAAACCACCACTGTATCAACAAACAACATTAATGCGTTATGAGTCGCTTATGATGAAGTTTTTTTTCAACTGAAATGGATTGATTTCATCCCCATTGCCTGCTAATATATCCAATGTTGTCAACTCCACATCACCTTCTTTTGTCCGTCCTGCAGGCGAACAGACCGCCGGCCAAACTCAATCTGCTCACCTGTCAGGTGAAGCACAATCCCGACGAGAAGAAGAGCTTTGACCTCATATCTCGTAAGACCAGCCCTTCTTTTTACTTTGATGGATGAATGGAATTCTTTCCGATGGTGAAATGTGGTGGTTTTTGCTAGCTGTAGGCTGTATCCATCAAAATGACAAAATCATGAACGATTTGACTTCTTGTGGGGAGAATCTTTGAGTTTCACTTTTTGAATTGAACTACTGAAATAAACAATTTCTTCACAATATTCTAATTTATTGAGATGCGGCTGTAATTCGGTGCTCATCCAGAAAATCATTCAATTCTGATATATTTCCGGACTAAAGTTATAATGTTATCAGGATTAGTTTTGTTGTTGGTGAAAAATGTCTCTACCAATAAGTCTTTTCGGTGTAAAAATCTATTAAGATTTCAAGATTTCTTTGCCATAATAACAAAGCCTATACAATGTACAGTAACATAAATCGATCCTTAAGCTTTCCGAACGAGAACATCATCCAAGGTCTTAACAATTTTGATTTCCATTTTAAAATCTTGCCAAAGCAACTCAATGATGAATTCTCTGCTTAATTTTCTTTCAGATGACAGAACGTATCACTTTCAGGCCGAAGATGACCAGGACTGCCAAATGTAAGAGCCCATTTGGTCTTTTTCCTAAAGAGAGTCTTCACTCAAGTTCCTCCTGTTTACCCACTTGAACAATTTTCCAGTTCACACAGAGACTATTTACCCCACTTTCACTTCACCCTTTGTTCATTCTCACCTACTTTCTCTTCCTCCTCATCCCTTCCTGTGTGTGTCTTCTCTCCTCCTCCTCCCTGCAGTTGGATCTCAGTGCTCCAGAACAGCAAGGAGGAGGCGCTGAACCAGGCCTTCAAAGGCGACCAGCATGTCGGCGAGAACAACATCGTGCAGGAATTGACCAAGGCCATCCTGGCCGAAGTGAAGAGGATGACGGGGAATGACGTGTGCTGCGATTGTGGAGCGCCCAGTAAGTGATGACAATGGAATATGATTGACAGGAAAAAAAATCAATCCAGTTGTCCACCGTGCCGCCACACAGCATATAATATGGTTTATCATTTTGAAGGGATTTGTATTTAAATCCCCACAGTAAATTTGACCATGTGTCCTTCAGCAGTCATATAAAGCCAGTTTGGACTAAAAAGACGTTTGGCAGCTGTTAAACTTTTTCAAGGACATGTCACAGTTTCACACTCGCGACACACCTTCCACGCCTCTTTGTGTCGAAAGCAATTGTTGTTCTAGCACTGACATCACCATTGGATGAATAAATCCGACTATTATGCCTCTGATGTGCTAATTTACTGGGCACGCAGGTGAAAGAGGATTATTCCACAAATGGTTGATGGTGGGAGGCCTCGATTTGTACATATATTGTCCATTTTAAAAAATAAGATTGAAACAGGTGTAAGCAAAATATGCCTTGAGGATTACATATGGTCTCTTTACATTATCAAAAGCGCTATTATATTTGTTGCACGTATAGTTTTTGAGCTTGATTAGTTCAAATGCATTCATTCATTTTTTAATTAATTTTCATTCATTTATCCTGTGAAATAATGGACTCATTTATTCTGAATAGTGATATGAAATATTTGTACAATTAATTTCCATATACGTTCATTGATTAATTAATTATGTTACCACTCTTCCTGATGGTGAAATGGAGGTGTCTTTTTGAACTACTTGTGCCATGTTATCGATAGTACAGACACTTTTTGAGGAAATGCAATATCTGCAGTCCAATATGCAATTTTCTTGTTCTTTTTCCAGACCCGACGTGGCTCTCCACCAACTTGGGCATCCTCACGTGTATTGAATGTTCCGGCATCCACCGGGAGCTGGGAGTCCATTACTCCAGGATCCAGTCACTCACTCTGGATGTACTTAGCACCTCCGAGCTCTTGGTAGGCTACTGTTCGTATTTCTCATCTCCCTGTGCTCCTCCAACTTTCGCATCCATAATTCTGGAAAATTGGGGCAGCATGAAAGCGGCAGAAGAGGTCGCCATACTTTGAATAGCTTGCATGTTTTGGAGGGTTTACAAATTGTTTGACTTTGACTCACCACCTGTGGCTGTGCGCCAGATAAAATGACCCCATGTTGTAAAACGCAGGGTACTGTTGAGGCTGTCTGCCACTCCCTGATTTAAATGTTGAATCAATGCTGTGCTGTTCAATGCGGTGCCTCACTGCTCCACATGCGCGTTCCGCAGCTGGCCAAGAATGTGGGGAATGCAGGCTTCAATGAAATCATGGAGGCAGGTTTAAGTGCTGAAAAAGCAGTGAAACCCAACCCCGCCAGTGACATGTAAGTGCTCTCCTCCCTACTCGTCGCCGCCATCGTTACACGCGTGAATGACACCGCTGATGAGCTGACACTCGGCATCTCCCATCAGGCAGGCGAGGAAAGACTTCATCGTCGCCAAGTACACCGAGAAGCGCTTCGCCAGGAAGAAATGTCCCGACTCGGCTTCGCGGCTCCACACGCTGTGCGATGCCGTCAAAGCTCGTGACATTATCTCCCTCATTCAGGTCTACTCTGAGGGAGTGGACCTGATGGAACCCATACCGCTAGCCAATGGACATGTCAGTACCCCCATTTGCACTCATTGGCACAACATCAGGTATAGGCGAGCTGTGTCAGAAATTCTGTCTTCCCAAATATAAGACAGTAAACCTGCGTTTATTGCAGGGATTACATTCCAAACTTACTCAATGGGATATACCAAAAACTATTTGGGTTGCAGCAGGGCCACAGTAGGTGCACTGCGATATAGCAGGGAAACACTGTACATTTATGGAATGTTGTGGCATTCCTTCATCCTTTCCGAATGATTTTGTAACATGATCTCTTTTGGTTGTTGATTTATGTCTCGCTCTGTTGCGTTGTCCAAACAGAAAGGTCAAATAATGCTAATCTATTGTGTCCCTTAGGAGCAAGGAGAGACCGCCCTCCATCTGGCTGTCAGGCTGGTGGACAGGACCTCTCTTCACATCATCGACTTCCTCACCCAGAACAGGTGAACAAAAACTACACCGGTGAAAATCACTGAGCAGACGGCTCATTTGGCGAGCCTATTAAACGGCGATATGTTACAATGGTCCATTTATCCAAGTGACATTTAAAAGGTGCTGCCTGTCTAATGTTGACATTAGCTGGAGGGCGGATGCCTCTAAACCTGATTATGGGTACAAAACGTAGTATTTTACTTCATCAGAACAACTGCTTTTATTCATCTCTTTGCTATATCTGTTTGCAGTTTAAATTTGGATAAGCAGACGGCTAAAGGCAGCACGGCGCTGCACTACTGCTGTCTGACTGACAACAGTGAGTGTCTGAAGCTGCTGTTACGGGGGAAAGCCTCCATAGACATCGGTAAGCAAGGAGGTCTTCTTCTTTTGGTTTTTATTTACACTCGGTAAGTATTCATTTAAAATGATCGGAGTTGTACAGTAGTGGAGAACTGCACTGCAACACTCTGAGAGTGGGAGATTTCTTTTGGTTAAAAAAAGAAAAAATTCCATACAATGGCAGTGCAGTTTCTGATACGACTCGTGTTGAGTTTAATGTTACCAAATGAAATGTCCAGTGAGCCTTTTTTTTACCAACATATAGGTTACGTGGTATATTTGCATGTGTGCATTGTTATCTGCATCTATCATCTCCAGTGTTCTTCAGTTGAACAAAAATGGACAAATGAGAAGGCTGTATATGGACATCATGGTTACACATGCTGATTTTCTCTCACACAAACACACATCTGTAAGGTTTAGTTCCCAAGAGGTTCGGCTCCATAACGACTCTTTCTCACAACACTAATCTTTCCTCTGCTGTGGCCTGTCGTCAACAAAACACACTGATAATGTCCACAGAGAGGCAGAGGGCTCAGTGTGGGAAACGTTTTGTGTCAGTGAGGGGAAGGAAAGCGGGTCGAATGTTTGCTCCATTACTGACCCTGCATTGCTCCGGTCTCCCCTTTCAGCTAACGAGGCTGGGGAGACGCCGCTGGACATCGCTCGTAGGCTCAAACACCTCCAGTGTGAAGAGCTGGTGAGCTCACTGCTTTTGACCACAGGTGCTCACAGGTGACTTGCAACATGCATGCTCAGTTTTTACATCTGTGTGCTCAGTTGAACCAAGCGTTGGCAGGGAAATTCAACGCGCACGTCCATGTGGAGTATGAATGGTGCCTGCAGCATGAAGACTTGGATGAGAGTGATGAGGATCTCGATGAGAAGGTGAGAGTATTTCCAGTGGGTTTGGAGACACAGTAAGACATGGCGCACATGCCTGTTTCGCACTGAATTGAGACTTCCATCTTCCTCTGTGCGCTACAGCCCAGCCCCCACCGCAGAGAAGAGCGTCCGGTCAGCTGTTACACACCGAGCACCAACTCCCACTTGCATGGCCGCGACACCAAGGACAAGCAGCGCTCCTATCTGCCAAATTTGGTCAACAACGAGACCTACGGCACCATCGTCAACAACAACCCTCCGCAGCACGGACTGCCCGCCACCACCTCTGCCCCACCACTTCCGCCGAGGAACCTGGGTACAATGTTCCCCGTTATATTTTATTAATAAACACCCTTCAGCCATTTATTGCATGCTGGGTGAAGAGAGTGAATACAATAAGCACACTCAGGAAGTAGTTACTGTCAGCCACAGCTCTCACGCAGACACTCACATGCAGACTTGTTGATGTCATGCCACCCCACCAGGCCCCACCACTAAAACGTTACATACGGTATTTTCTGTATGTTTTAAGCTTACGCTACAATTTTTCATGTTCATGTACACGTGTTAAAAAAACGTACATATAAATTTAAATGTATTTCAAGTGTGTGGGAAGAGTAAAGCCAGAAAAAAAATACTATGCTCTTTCCGTATTGCAAATTGCTCTCGTGATAAAATGGGTTCACTGTAATGCTTTTTGCCCATGTTAAAAACAACTGACATCATGTCTGCATTTGGAAGCTCTATAACTTCTGCAGCAAACCAATTTAATTTCTTAAAGAAAAGGCTCTTTGATTGCATACGTGCTACGGAAGAAAAAAAAAAACATAGTGTAGCTCCACTGGCCAACCGCATTGTGACATGCCCATCAAAGATCCACTTTAATAACGTTAGTGGTCGTTTGGAGCTGCGCCAAGGAGCACCTCGTCTCCCAGCCGCACCATTACTCACCTTCCCTCTCCCCCTATTAATGTCCCTCTCAATTTCACTCACGGGTAATCTGATTTTCCCTTCCTTCTTTTGACGAGCCTCCTCTTCTTCCTCATTCACAGTCCAGTTGGCAGGCCTCGGCGGGACGAGTCAGCCCTCGTCGTCCAGCGGCTGGAAGCCCGCTTCCTTAGAACTGGTTGGTCGGCAAAGATCATCTTCGGATCCCCCCAACATGCACCCCCCTGCTCCGCCTATTCGGCTTACCTCTACAGCCGGTAAGAATGATGCAAGTTATATTATACGTATATATGTATAAAGTAAATATAATTGAATGAAGGATGAAAGGATATGCGAAATAAAGGCGGTATCACGATATGCCACAGGTTTGGGTCCTTCTCCTGCAGGAAAGATCGACTCACTTAGTTCACAATCCAAGTCGGGGCAAGGACCTGCTGGATCGAGAAGCAGTCAACAAAAGTCACCGGCAGGGTGAGTTTCAGATGAACAATCCTACTGTGTATGCATTTACTTTGGTGTTAGGTTAAAGTAGGTTTGGTAGTTTTTTTTCACACGTTTTCACAAATCTCCGATTGATTAGATATTTACAAATAGTATGGGAAGTTTACAAGTTTATGCCAAAAATAAAATCAAGAAACTATTGTCAGTTATTGCAATACGGTAGTTTCAGTAGTTCGGTAATTTATGGTAGGTAGGATTGTGTAAAAATAACACTGGCCTAAAATGTTGCTGTTAGTTGGTTGTGTTAGGTCAGTCCAGTACTAGTTTAGGTAGTGAGCAGGACTGAAAATATAGTAACTGCATGTACTGTGTGTTTTCGTAAATATTGGGTATTTTTTTGGTTTGTTGATTCCGCTAGTCACGGTAGTTAACTGAATTAAGAACGGCGGGATTCCTATGAATGTTACATGATTGGTTAGTGAGTTAGTTGTCTGGATTGGCAGCTCTCGTATTGCAGGTGTATCTAATGAAGTGTCTGTCCATAGTCAAGTATAACAAGATGACCTTTGGCCGAGTAGCCATTCCACATCCTGTTCTGCATTCCGTCAGTGAATCACTTGTTTTCCTTCTGTTTTCCAGGAATGATAAAAGTTTCAACCGAACACCACTAAATCGGACAGCATCTATTGAGCGCCCAAGTGAGTAAACTGATGAAAACAAACACCAAAAAAAAAGGAAGCCTTGCGTGGGCAGGGGGACGGTTAAAAGGCTACATGTCAGTTTTTTCTCCATCCGGTGACTTGTTAAAATGATCGGAGTTGTACAGTAGTGGAGAACTGCACTGCAACACTCTGAGAGTGGGAGATTTCTTTTGGTTAAAAAAAGAAAAAATTCCATACAATGGCAGTGCAGTTTCTGATACGACTCGTGTTGAGTTTAATGTTACCAAATGAAATGTCCAGTGAGCCTTTTTTTTACCAACATATAGGTTACGTGGTATATTTGCATGTGTGCATTGTTATCTGCATCTATCATCTCCAGTGTTCTTCAGTTGAACAAAAATGGACAAATGAGAAGGCTGTATATGGACATCATGGTTACACATGCTGATTTTCTCTCACACAAACACACATCTGTAAGGTTTAGTTCCCAAGAGGTTCGGCTCCATAACGACTCTTTCTCACAACACTAATCTTTCCTCTGCTGTGGCCTGTCGTCAACAAAACACACTGATAATGTCCACAGAGAGGCAGAGGGCTCAGTGTGGGAAACGTTTTGTGTCAGTGAGGGGAAGGAAAGCGGGTCGAATGTTTGCTCCATTACTGACCCTGCATTTCTTCGGTCTCCCCTTTCAGCTAACGAGGCCGGGGAGACGCCGCTGGACATTGCTCGTAGGCTCAAACACCTCCAGTGTGAAGAGCTGGTGAGCTCACTGCTTTTGACCACAGGTGCTCACAGGTGACTTGCAACATGCATGCTCAGTTTTTACATCTGTGTGCTCAGTTGAACCAAGCGTTGGCAGGGAAATTCAACGCGCACGTCCATGTGGAGTATGAATGGTGCCTGCAGCATGAAGACTTGGATGAGAGTGATGAGGATCTCGATGAGAAGGTGAGAGTATTTCCAGTGGGTTTGGAGACACAGTAAGACATGGCGCACATGTCTGTTTCGCACTGAATTGAGACTTCCATCTTCCTCTGTGCGCTACAGCCCAGCCCCCACCGCAGAGAAGAGCGTCCGGTCAGCTGTTACACACCGAGCACCAACTCCCACTTGCATGGCCGCGACACCAAGGACAAGCAGCGCTCCTATCTGCCAAATTTGGTCAACAACGAGACCTACGGCACCATCGTCAACAACAACCCTCCGCAGCACGGACTGCCCGCCACCACCTCTGCCCCACCACTTCCGCCGAGGAACCTGGGTACAATGTTCCCCGTTATATTTTATTAATAAACACCCTTCAGCCATTTATTGCATGCTGGGTGAAGAGAGTGAATACAATAAGCACACTCAGGAAGTAGTTACTGTCAGCCACAGCTCTCACGCAGACACTCACATGCAGACTTGTTGATGTCATGCCACCCCACCAGGCCCCACCACTAAAACGTTACATACGGTATTTTCTGTATGTTTTAAGCTTACGCTACAATTTTTCATGTTCATGTACACGTGTTAAAAAAACGTACATATAAATTTAAATGTATTTCAAGTGTGTGGGAAGAGTAAAGCCAGAAAAAAAATACTATGCTCTTTCCGTATTGCAAATTGCTCTCGTGATAAAATGGGTTCACTGTAATGCTTTTTGCCCATGTTAAAAACAACTGACATCATGTCTGCATTTGGAAGCTCTATAACTTCTGCAGCAAACCAATTTAATTTCTTAAAGAAAAGGCTCTTTGATTGCATACGTGCTACGGAAGAAAAAAAAAAACATAGTGTAGCTCCACTGGCCAACCGCATTGTGACATGCCCATCAAAGATCCACTTTAATAACGTTAGTGGTCGTTTGGAGCTGCGCCAAGGAGCACCTCGTCTCCCAGCCGCACCATTACTCACCTTCCCTCTCCCCCTATTAATGTCCCTCTCAATTTCACTCACGGGTAATCTGATTTTCCCTTCCTTCTTTTGACGAGCCTCCTCTTCTTCCTCATTCACAGTCCAGTTGGCAGGCCTCGGCGGGACGAGTCAGCCCTCGTCGTCCAGCGGCTGGAAGCCCGCTTCCTTAGAACTGGTTGGTCGGCAAAGATCATCTTCGGATCCCCCCAACATGCACCCCCCTGCTCCGCCTATTCGGCTTACCTCTACAGCCGGTAAGCATGATGCAAGTTATATTATACGTATATATGTATAAAGTAAATATAATTGAATGAAGGATGAAAGGATATGCGAAATAAAGGCGGTATCACGATATGCCACAGGTTTGGGTCCTTCTCCTGCAGGAAAGATCGACTCACTTAGTTCACAATCCAAGTCGGGGCAAGGACCTGCTGGATCGAGAAGCAGTCAACAAAAGTCACCGGCAGGGTGAGTTTCAGATGAACAATCCTACTGTGTATGCATTTACTTTGGTGTTAGGTTAAAGTAGGTTTGGTAGTTTTTTTTCACACGTTTTCACAAATCTCCGATTGATTAGATATTTACAAATAGTATGGGAAGTTTACAAGTTTATGCCAAAAATAAAATCAAGAAACTATTGTCAGTTATTGCAATACGGTAGTTTCAGTAGTTCGGTAATTTATGGTAGGTAGGATTGTGTAAAAATAACACTGGCCTAAAATGTTGCTGTTAGTTGGTTGTGTTAGGTCAGTCCAGTACTAGTTTAGGTAGTGAGCAGGACTGAAAATATAGTAACTGCATGTACTGTGTGTTTTCGTAAATATTGGGTATTTTTTTGGTTTGTTGATTCCGCTAGTCACGGTAGTTAACTGAATTAAGAACGGCGGGATTCCTATGAATGTTACATGATTGGTTAGTGAGTTAGTTGTCTGGATTGGCAGCTCTCGTATTGCAGGTGTATCTAATGAAGTGTCTGTCCATAGTCAAGTATAACAAGATGACCTTTGGCCGAGTAGCCATTCCACATCCTGTTCTGCATTCCGTCAGTGAATCACTTGTTTTCCTTCTGTTTTCCAGGAATGATAAAAGTTTCAACCGAACACCACTAAATCGGACAGCATCTATTGAGCGCCCAAGTGAGTAAACTGATGAAAACAAACACCAAAAAAAAAGGAAGCCTTGCGTGGGCAGGGGGACGGTTAAAAGGCTACATGTCAGTTTTTTCTCCATCCGGTGACTTGATAGTTTTTGCTGTGGAAGCGTGCAACCCTTGTTTTATTTGCGATATCATTTCCTCTTCCCGGTCCAGCTAAGGAAGTGCCAGGATGCCCCCAGAGCTCCATAGGTCACGCTCTGCCTTCAGCCCACCACTCTCGGAAGGCCTACACTGTGAGTTAATCCTTTTTTTTTTTTTTGTCCTTGTCTTGTTAACTACTTTGTCGAATTGTCCCACTATGTTCTACTGTATCATCAGAAGCACAGGCCGAAGCGAGTGAAGGCCATGTACAACTGTATGGCAGACAACCCAGATGAACTAACCTTCTCGGAGGGCGAGGTCATTGTGGTGGATGGGGAGGAGGACCAGGAGTGGTGGGTCAGTATCCCAATGTGTGTGTATATGGATGTTTGTGTCTTTCAGTACCAGCAACATGCAACAATGCATATACCAATTGTATCAAAAAAAATAATTGCAAATGTGTCTTATTAAGCATGTAGTGTAAATCTAGCCTGAATACTGTAGACACATTTTTGAAAACAGGTCACTCTGTGACCAAGTGAGTTTTTGAAGATGACATCTTTGTGTGTAAATGATCAAAACTGTTGTCGTGCGTGCGTGCGTGTCCAGCATTTCCATTTGTTTTTCATTTTATTGTGAATGCTTCTTTTTTTAATTATTATTCTTGGAATGTCTGTTAGGTGTGAGGTAACCGTATTTTTAGAATTAAAAAAAAATAATAATAAATACAATTAACTGTGCAGAACGTAAACATGGATGCACACAACCTTGCGGAGTGACCATCTGTCAATTTACTAGAATGTAATCGGTGTTAAAGATAGCATCTCCACATTACTTTTTAAAACAATGTGCACTGTCTTCAAACGTTTATTAATTCGAGAGACAGGTTTTTTTTTTTGGGTGCTATTAGTTGGGTTAGTAACAGCGTTCAAATGGTCTCAGCAATTAAATTGTCTGTGTGTGAACAATAGCATTTATCAATACTTCCCATCTATATTCTATTTTCCTAATGGGAAACGGGGAGGCGTCTATTTGATTGAGGTATTCATTTATTCAAGTGACTAATGCAACCAGTGACTAATTCATTCTCGGCATCTATTAGAATCGAGGCCGCAATTTGTGAAAATACGGTAATTGTCATGCACCCTCAAAACGATCCCTGGTCTCAGTTCCACGGTAACCATGGTAGCGTTCGCAAAAAGCTCTGAGCTCATCTTGAACCGTGTCTCACACAAGCGCACACAAAATCCCCCTCCTCACCCCCACTTTACCCCCACTCTCGCTTCCTCTGTGGAGCCCCTTGTGCGAAAGTGAACCACCAGCTGCAGCCTTTGAATTTGGCCGTCCTCACTGTCCCCCCCCCTTAAGGTCTCCAACATCCTCTCTGAGCATTGAGTGTTGTTCGTGCTGCTGTATTTTCTTTGCCAGTGCACAAACATGTTCTAGCTTTGTCATTTTCAGGTGTAGAAATGACTAAATGGAGCTTTTCAATGTTGTCTTCATTGTCAAGGTAATGATCGGACAATCTTGTTGTCCGCATCTTAGTCAAATAGCCGTCTTGTGTCCTGTGAAGTAATGAATCTCCTTGTCATCAACCAATATGAAAAGCATACCGTATTTTTCAGACTTAAGTCGTTTTGGAGTATAAGTAGCACGAGTCCAAAAAATGCATCCTGGTCAATCATTGTGCCTTTTAATGCTGTAAATACTGTATGTAGTACGTTTATGTTGTGGCGGAAGCTACACGGTAAACTGGTGTTATGCCACACATTAGTTGCCATGACGACTACCTATTCTTCTTCCGCTTCTTCGTCTATTTCTTCTTCTGCTTTTGTTTGGCGGTTGGCAAATAGTTTTGGTGCATTCCCTCAACCAGCAAATCAAAATGGGGCTTTTGGGTGTCAGTCCGAGCTCTGATTGGAATATATACAAGTCGCACCTGAGTATAAATCGCAGGACCTGCCAAACTATGAAAATAAGTGCAACTTATAGTCCGAAAAATACGGTCATTAAAGGGACAGTGTGTAAAAATGTGTTTATTTTTCCATGTTCACGATTTCAAAAACTCACTATTCATTTCAATAATGTGCAAAAAATTGCAGGTGAAGTAATCGTAATTACTCCCCTACACGAGGCCGCCATGTTTCATCGCCATCTCTCTGCTACGGATACCCGAAGGAGAAAAACTTAGCGAACGTAGTTCCTCAACATGATGACTACTGCATATGTATCAAATGCAATGCGCTTACTCCGTCACTTGAGGGAATACTAGAATTTTTTTATGATGACATTTTGCTTGCACCTCTGCTGAAGAATTTGGTGGAAGTCTTGCACAGTTGTGGTCTTGCCGTACCGTGCGTGCTTCAAAATGCATCACTTTGAGCTTATGGCATTACATTCTATTGGTTCAACACTAGATGGCACTAAATTGTACACACTGTACCTTAAACAATAGGCATCATTTCACCCAAAACCCTTCCAGCAAGCCCTTTCTTGTAGTGCGTAGCTGTGTGTGTGTGTGTGTGTGTGTGTGTGTGTGTGTGTGTGTGTGTGTGTGTGTGTGTGTGTGTGTGTGTGTGTGTGTGTGTGCGCGCTTTAGAAGCTGAATCTTTTTGTGCCCAATTTCCATGAAAGTTACTGAAGGGAAGCCATCGGCCAAGCGAGAGAAAAAGTTTTAAATTATGTATAGAGAAAGTTGCAAATATTTTTGATGACATGACAAAGAAATGTTCAAGTCCGCTGAAACCTCTAAAATGGAACTTAATCAGTTTCAGTATGCTACTTGTACAGTTCAAACTGTTTTTCCCATCGGAAATACAGAGGTGTTATGATGTACAAGTACGAGATGTATGAGAGCATCTGTGACTACATTTTTAACTCTGAAATCATACTTAATCAATGAAATGAAAGAAAATTCTGTTAATATGATGCAACGCCACACTGTGCTACTTCTGGTGTGACCAGACATACAGTACAGATACAAACAAAGTCACAAGTTACTATTGTATTGTATTGTCTGTCTACATGAGTTGCTGCACCATGTGTGTTCAAATATCCCATACCTATAACACTCCGACAGATGCTCTTTGTTAACCCAATAACAACATTTTGCATTGTTAGTGTTAAGCTAACAGACTTTTCTAAGGCAAGCGGCAGTGGTTGATATAAATACACCTTTGTTTAAGGTTTCACTTGACAAAACCTTGGCTCACATTTTGAAAAACACCTAACGTGTGAGACGAGGTACTGCTCGAATGACAAGAATCTATTTCAGGGTCCAACTAAATTTATCATCGACACACATTATGTTTTGCGTAATTATCATCTGTCACACAAGTGCAACAACAAGAAATAAACTCCTGTATAGTACAACTAAAATAAAGTCAAACTACTTATGTTTCAGAGGCTTGCCAGACATGTAATGAGGATAGTGGGGTCTTTTAGGTATTGCTGAATTAAATATATTCGCATGAGCATTCCATTTTCCATCGTGCTCATTTCTTGTTTGTCTATTCCAGCCGACTTCCAGCAGGAAGCGGATATGCAGTGGTACGCCAGCCAATCGCAGGGCACATAAACAAACAACCATTCAGCCGCATTAACGTTCATTTGGGGAGCGTGGGGGCAGAGGGAAGGTGTAGTCCTGTGGGAAAATCCACTCATGGATTGGGAAAACATGCACACTCCATACAGGATAGCTGAGTCCTCACCACACAAGTCAAATTTTAAAAGCAATCTCACTGGCCGTGGTATTTCTTTCGATCAAGACACTAAATTATTTCTTGTTTTTTTCCCGTATTTTATTCTTCTGAAATTTGTTTGAATTCCAAACTTTGGAGGTTCTACTGCATCTAATCATGAATATTGACAACAAAATGGAGTCATATGCATAAGAAATGAACTATTTAGCTCCAATAGGTGTGTGCTGTCGTAATTCTAGTTAAAATTTGGTCTAAACATAAAATGGTTGCCCTCATGTGGAGAGTAGTGTTTTGTGCTCATGTTCGCCTTGTGGCCTCTTTTCCAGCTGGGCCACATTGAAGGAGATCCGATGAGACGAGGAGCCTTCCCGGTCACCTTTGTACACTTCATTGTGGACTGAAATGTCACTACGGGGGAGGTCAGCAACTGTGCAAATTCAAAGTCCCGGCGTCCCCTCTCGGTGACCGTGATGACATTCAGTGGTGTTTTTGAACTGCCTGGTGTTTGTGACGAGAACACAACCGAAATGATTGTAGTGAATGACATCTCACGATAAATGCACTTTCCCTTGCCACGCCGTCACACAGGATGAAGGTTGTGCACCACTCTCTTCCTCATCCTCATCACCCTCCAAGTGAAATGATCAGGCAGCAGGCCTTAACTGTGCACGAGTAAATGAAAACACATTTATGGCGGAGGTTGACTTCACGATGCCGCTTTAAGAACAAGCCAAAGGATGGCAGGAGGCTTCCCAATTGTCCCATTTTGGGAGAGAAAAAAAAACGACCAATCACGTTTCATGTTATACTCGCTCTGCCTTGTAATGTAAGTGAGCAGCATTACTCCTTCTTTTAGTGTGTGTGTGTGTGTGTGTGTGCGTGCGTGCGTGTGTCATCTCTGCCTTATTAAGCAGCAAGGAAATGTCTCTGTGTCGTAAACTGACAGTGTAAAAATATCGCCAAAAATATCATAACTGCCCCCTTTGGAGTTCAAGTGCATTATTATTATATGGCGATGACACAAGAACGTAAGTGTGCATATTTTTGACAAAAATAACCCTTACTATCACACTTTTGCTCAATACACTGATTTTAAATGTATAGTTTGCACAATGAAACATGACTCATTTTCACACGTTTGAGATTATGCTAAACGTTGCCAGGATCCTTTCAAATGGTGCAAAACTGTCTTCACAAACATCGATATACGACACATTTTCAAATTGCAAAAAAAGCCCCACATAAAATGTTGAATATTGGAATATAAAACACAACTCTTTCGTGCTTTGCCACTTTTTTTGTTGTGTATCATTTCCACAATTAAGAGATCCATTCAACTTCAAATTTACCCAGACTATGAATACCGGTACTTTTGAATGTACCTGTGTGCGTGCGTGCTCATTCTATGTCTGTGTGACGAGCGTTTGACATTCTGCCTCTCTTGTCTAGACATTTCTCTTGTGTGTTGACATTTCCATTGGTCCACACAAGAAAAATGCCCGGATAAGCTTCATTGACTCCATTAGACAACTAACGTCCACCTTCCTGCATTTGTACAGAAAGTGCGTTGTTTTTCATATTAACACAAGCATTCAATGTAATTAATTTCGAGTTGTGTTGCGGAGCAACTGTGTGGACGCAAAAATCATAATGAATGTTCCTTTTGAAGCTGACACCATCAGAGCCTTGGTGAGTGACAAAAATTGCAGCTAATATTCATCGTGTTTTTATTATTATTATTATTAACTCACTGGAAACAGGATCTAATCTATACATGTGTAAATAGATGTGTATCTTATTTAAATGTAGAGAGTCTGGAGGGGACACTGACAGCTGGAATTTAGTGTGAGTGTAGAAAAAAAATCATCAGTTGTCGTCTTTGGATGTACATAAATGGGGAATGAAACTGGAATAAAATGACATAAAGCGTGTCCTGTCGTTGCTTCCGGGAAGCGTGATGAAAGTGGCTCAGTATGTGCAAATGTTCATTGATTCGAAAGCTTTTAAAGCAAGGTGCCCGTTCTGTTCCATTAATGTTGAGTCCACTTAAGGCTTGACTCCAACGAGTGCGAGTATATCAAGTGTCCAGCACTTCCTCATGTCCTGACAGCTTCCTTCCATTCTCTTTTCCACTGTAGGTGAGAAGCAATTCAGAACCCAAAAAAAATCATATGGCTAATAATCCTTTATTAGCCTGTCAATTGTGTTTACTCCTGTACCAAAAGTCATTCATCACCCTCTGAGAAATTGTTCATTTTTTTTCCAAAGGAAACTTCAGTTGACAGCTCACTTTGCTAGTGAGCTGGGCTGTGAGAGGTTTTTATTTTTAGTTCTTAGGTTACAAAGAATAAAGTGGTCTTATTGTTAGTTCTGTGCAATTGAGATCAGATTAAGATTGTATTCGGGCCCCAGAGCAAAATGAGTTTGACGCCCCTGCTCAACTGGAAAAATAGTGTTGAAAATGGATGGATGTTAGCTTTCTAATGGGCTATTTAGCCACCAGCTATCTACCCAGACCGTAGACCAGTAGATTAACGGGCAATAAATTTTGGTGATAGATAAAGTAATTGAATGTACCGGTACATAATGATCAAACTGTTGCCAGTACATGCGAAGTAACAGGTTGACATTCTTAACTGTCATGCAAGTGTAAAGAGAAGTGATCCCCTGTACATTAAAACTAAAATGAAGTTGTCTGTGTGTGCCCTGCGATTGGCTGGCAACCAGTTCAGAGTGTACCTTGCCTTCTGCTGGAAGATGACTGGGATAGGCTCCAGCATGCCCGCGACCCTCATGAGGATAAGTGGATCAGAGAATTGATGTATGGATGTATAAAATAAAATGGCTCACTTTTTGAAGACGGTGTGCTCTGCTATTTATTTTGACATCTGCTGTATTGCTTCTGTTAGCTTGTTAGCTGCTTCCTTATGTTTTAATTTTCTTTCCTCATATTGTCAGGCCACAGTTTTCCTTAGCACAGTGTCAGTTACGGTTTTCCAGAACATTTTGGATAAACTCCAAACTGTACCACTATGGGAATTTACATTGCACAGTAGGTCTTGTGTGTGTGCCTGCTGGCTCAGCAAAAGCAGAACAATATGAATGACAGTAGGCACAGTCGAGGAGTAAGCTGGGTTTCTATCTTAAGTTATCTCGTCCAGCGGGCTCCCAACATCCAAAAACACTTCCTGTAACATGCCCCTTGTACAACTACTGACTATATTAGGAGCTTTGCAACAATATAAACTACTCACATAATTGATGTTGTAAGCAAAACTTTGTGGGATTTTTTTTTTTTTTTTTAGAAATTAAAAAAAATAAACCTTCCACAGCTGCTATGGATGAATGGGAACTTTCAAATGTGCTTTTATACTATGCATAGGGTAGAGCCTCAAATGTGATTCCTGAAAAGGTCCTTTGTGAGAGAAAAACATTTTGAAGTTATCCATCCATCATTTTCTGTTACATTTATTCTCATTGGGGCTAACTCTAGCTAACATTCAGCGAGGGGCAGAGGTACACCCTGGACTGGTCACCTGACAATCACTGGGCATGTATGTACAAATAAACAACCATATACAGTACATGGACACAATGAACAATCACCTGACATCTACCTGCATTACACATGATTCATTGATAGCCCACTGACTACACTGTTGCATTGTGGTCTTTTGTAATACCCCACAAAATAAAAACAAGCTCATTACCATAGTCTTTTTGTTTTATTTGTCAACTGATCACAGGTGTCAAACTTGACCTGACAGCACCCATTCTTTTGCACGCGCTGCCCTCTAGCGGAAATAATGAATAGTTACAAAAGACATCAGACCAAAAAAAAAAATAGTCTTACTATTTTTGAGAAAGAAAATGAATGCAGTCAGAAAAAAAACACCCACGCTAGACTCATCTTAATCTCAATGAAATATTTAAAGTGCATTCAAAGTCAGAAAATGTTTGTTTTCAAACCCTTGGTAGAGTATATGACAGTTACCATTAGGTGGTGTTGTCAGCCAACTCCAAGAAATAAAATGCACAGCCAAGGTGTATATGGTCCCGATGATTGACATCCATCCAACTTTCTGAACCGCTTTATCCTGACTAGGGTTGCAGGCCTGTTGGAGTCTATCCCAGCTGACTTCTGGCAGTTGGCAGTGTTCACCACACAATCGGGCACACATAGACAAATAACCATTCGCACTCTTAGTAACACCTTAGAGCAATTTAGAGTGATCAGTTAACCTACCATGCGTTTTTGGAATGTGGGAGGAAACCAGAAAAAACCCACGCAGGCACAGAAAGAACATGCAAACACCACGCAGGAAGGCCGGAATCGAACCCATGACTGTGAGGCGGATGTGCTAACCAGTCGTCCACCGTGCCGTACATATATACAATATTAAAATAACGGAATTAAAACGATATGCAGGTAAAATTTTCAAAACAGTCCAGGAAAAAAATACTCCAATAATGGACGTTTGTATCCAATTACGTGTTCTTTTGTATATATTTCTTTTAATTTATGTGCACACGTTATTTAAAGCGACCATTTACGTTGTTTATTCTTATTATAAATCTAATGATGTCAGATAAATTGACATATTCAAAGAACCGCTGCAGCTGGACCAGATGTAGAACCCCGTCCCATTTTTTACGTCACACTTCCCGAAGAGCAAAAGAAATGTAGGCGGGTTCTACAAAATTTCTGAGCAGATCCCAATTTGCCCCGAGGCCTGTAACTCAAATACGTTTCCTTCTTTTCTTTACCGTGATTGGCTGTCGAGATTTCACTTTCTCCAAATCACTGGAAGCTTTCCCATCGACTCGCTCCCTGTTTCACTGCCACCAAAGATACTCTGCTGCCAAGAGGTTTACCCGTACTTCTACTGTCGTCGTATTTATTATCTAATAGGTTGCCATTACGGCATAAATGCTGTGTTAAGACGCGTTTAGAAGTAAGTTAGTGTTCCCACGTCTTAGAATTAAGTCTTGTGTTCATTCCGGAAAAAAACGTAAGGTTTCCACGGATGTTCCAGACGGCCATGCGTGTTAAACGCGTTTTGGATTTGTTTACACTTCAAACTAATACTGTTTGTATTGCATTTGGTAAATTACACCACCAAGATGAGAAACAACATACTTATCTCTAAAATGACTGAACAAACTAATTGAAAGGACATTTCTGGTGCTGTTGAAAGAAAAGAAACGGAGACGTTAGTGTTGCTCTCGCTTTACTTTTCTTCTCTTTGTCTGGATGTGCGCCCTGGATGACACCCGCTCTTCCAGACACAGCGGCAGCAGCAGCACC